GTATATTCTTGATTTGGTCTCTCTCCCTAGAAATACATCCACCGTATACAATTTGTAAATGGAATGAACTCATTACAGTTAAATTCAGTTGATTTAATGAAATTGCGGAATAAACTGTGGGTCTTTCGAGAAGACTAAGGGCTCTACATATACATTATTTTACATGACTTCAATTTCCGCATTCAGAAATGTTTCAGGATTTATTGCATGTTTGATATTCGGATTCGCACACATCACTTAATCCAGGAAGGGGTCATTCGGATGAAGTATTCCGACATTTAAGATTCCGGATTCAAAGTGCCTGGAAACGCGTTCAAACGGTTTTTATTTCGTATTCATGCATCTGCATCTAGCAGCAAAACGAATCCAGACACCAAAAGATAGTTCCCGATTTAAAAAATCTTCTCTAGTGGAAACCTAGTCTGGTGCTCAAGGGAGACTTTCAAGGCCAAAAGACTGAAAAATAAACGTTTTGGCCAAGGAAAAACTGAAATTAACTGGTAAGGAAGAGCACTGTTTGCAGGAACATTGGTAACTATTAACATTTAATATACTACAATGTTCAACATTGCTTGAGAAATGATGAGCTTCAAAGGTGGCAATATGTACACTTTTAAGTTCATATATATATATATATATATATATATATCTCCTTATTCATATGTCGAGTCTGAAAATTTTGTAATAATTTATGCATGGATGGTATTTCCAACAATACACATGTCCCTTCACTATGACTGTTATGATATATGTCTCTAGCCTCAATGCTGTAGATACCAACACCAATAATTGCCACTGTTTAAATGAATGAGTTGTAGTTCAGTGCCAAGAGTGTTTCAAATGCAGTACCCTATGAGTGACATATACATGTAGTAGTGATGGATGTTACAAGTATAACTGTCACTGTATTCAAGGTGGAAAAATTGCTCAAACACTGTAACCATTCCTGGCAATTCTGTTAACATTAACATAGTTTGTCTTGCAAGCAGTGACAGACTAGAATATAATTGAATACCAACAATCATTATTTGAGTCATATCATGAACTGAAGTAATCTTTGTTATCTTACTGAAAAATTAAAGCGCACAGACTCATTGCGACACATTGCTGTCCAGCATTTTCCCCAAATACTCATTGTAAAGGAACTGTCATACCTCGTAATTAACAAAAACATCGTAGATGTATTTGACTTCCAGGACCTAAGAAGAGATATAGTCATGTTTCGAATTTAACCGGTTTATTAACCTGGTGATTCAAACTGTTGTAAGCACTATAAAATGGATAATTGCATGTGCAGAGGGGCAAATTCTTACTTAAAAGCCTATGTGGATATCTCATTCCACCTAAATCGTCTGTGCTTTGATGCTTAGACAACAGATACACCTTCCCTCGTTTACGAACTAGTTTTGGAGTTGCCCCTTAAGTGGAAACCTCACACTGTTACAGTTACTTCTGTACCTGTTTAAGTGTAAACCTTTCTATTTTTATCGTAACAATTAATTTCAGACGATAATGGTGTATTTTTCCGAATACTCTTCCACACAAAAAGTGTCACTTTCCGTGTTTTAATTTGTTCATCGGTAGTCTGCTAGGTGATGGTAACCGGTCATTTCGTTCCATGGTCAGATCGTTCCATAAAATAGTCAGTTCGTTCCACAAAAAGGTCAGTTCGTTACATATGAAAAGTCACGTAAATCTTTCTAAATTTGTTGAGTGAACTCTATCGAGAAGAAAAACGTTTCGTTCGTACCACAAGCTGATAAAATAATAGTAGATCCAAAGTCGATTCGATCCATCCTAAATCGTTTGAAAACAAACAAGAGACGATTTCAACCAGCCAAGGGCTTTAACATTTAAACCGCCGCTTTGAGAGTTTTTGAGCTAGAATCGATCGATGGTTTTGAAAGATATAGCACAAGTAAAAGCTATGCCGTTTTGAAGGTACAGTATTTCGAAGCGCTTGTAACATAAATATTTCTTTGCAGCGCCCCATTTATGCAAATTTGGAAAACAACGCGAGTTTCGAATCACAATCTCGATTTTATGGTAATTTGTCTTGCCGACAATATAATTGCCTAACCTGATTTAAACTAATGGAATTGTGAGTTCTGTTATAAATAAATTTTCCAAGACGAGATCTCAATTCAACCTCTTTTATTTCCTCCACAACACAATTTTCCTTCTGTACAACCAGCTCATTACCTTATCTTGTCGTCACCTCGCTGCCATCAAAACACTCTAACATAAAACTTGCTGATGATGCAAAATCCCGACGCCCAGCATCGTACATGTACCGCGTCACAATATACACATTTAGATGAAAAAACACAACACGCAATATAAAAACAAGTACATTAACCGTCACCCTGCTAAACAAAATTGAAATAATAAAAAGAAGTGTTGTAGTTATCACAGTAGTTCCAAAAGAAGCCTCAGTCCCTTTTGGTTTCAGTTGTTGACAATCGTCTCTTCCTTCATGGAACAGATTTTTATCACAGGCAACTCGTTGTGTTCCGCAATGCAAAAATCAAAATCACTATTGTCACACTGATAACCAGCTACACAAATCTTGCGACTCTCAAACTTGTTAAACATTCCTCTGTTCAAACTCTTATCCATTTTACACGTACACTCCTGATACTCCTCTCGTCAAAAAAATGTCAGACGCCCATCACCTTCGCGGACCTCTTAGGAAACGAAAGTTTTCTTCAACGGGTTCAAAAGGTCATTGTTTGTGATTTGTGATTGGTGGATTTTGATACTTTTTGTGAGTTTCTGTGTTTCAAGGTTCGTTGCTTGTGATCTTATTGTGACCAAAACTCGACGTTAATATTCCAAATATTTTTGATAGATTTCATCCCTGGATTTCAGACTTCCAAATTTCGATGAGGCAAAAATACTGACGATGCAGATTAACTTTTGAGATCGTAAAAGTGCGATAAAGTGCCGTGTGCTAGCAGAGCTTTCTTTCCCACATGCCTCTTACCTTGTACAAGACGTTCGCATGGTAGACATTCGCCTCGCTTCGCTTGTTTACTTGCCTTGTTTACGTTAGCACGTATTGCGTGCCTATTGCACATTTGCGTCAAAACAAGCCGTTTCTATTACTCTATTTGGGCCACGCCCAAATAATAACATCCAGAACATCTGCAAACGGTTAGACTTTCTAATCTTCTCGGATAAGGACGATAAACCGTAGGCCCCGTCTCACAAGCCTTTGCACATGTAATAAATCTGTGGGACGTTAAAGAACCCACACACTCTTCGTAAAGAGTGGGGCACGTAGTGCCCGGTGTAGTGGTCTGTCTCACTTTCACACTCATGTATGGGGGCATCATTACTTATTTCTTCATTACTTGTAAACTGCACCTTAAGCAGTCTGGCAAAGTCCCCCAACCAGTGTTGTAAATTATCCCTGAAAAGCCCTGAGGGGAGTGGATAATAAGATATATACAATTTATAAAGACGCTGAAACCACTGCCATATGAGCTTTTTTTTCTCAAAATAGCTCAATCATGCCATTATAATATTTCCATACAATTCCAACTAATTAAATAAAACAAAACCAGTCTTTCTTTTCAACGTTGTCTAATGGGCGGAACTGGTTTTGAAAACATTCATACTTTTTTCCGAGCTATTATTGTAAAATTGAGTAGATTGCACTCCTACAACGACTCGATTTCTTTTCCTTTCTAGTCTTTACTTGTTTTCAATTTTAGTCCCAAGTACCAAGCACCTACCTGAGAAACATCTGGGCTTGTGTGTATTAGAGGTGAAGCTGCTTCTTGATCTGGTTCAGTTGAAGGTGACACGCTACAGCTGATTGCTAACACAGAATAAAATAACAAAAATACGCATTGAATTCATCTTTTGCGAATGCACTGTTACAGAAAATGCTCACAGCCAGGGACAATTACTGCATTACTGCACATGAACGTGAACGTCAACTAACAGCCACCTCTCTTGTGGTCATAATATAGTTTACTTGCTGAACTAAACGTTAACAACTTCTTTTTCTTATGACATGCTAAATGTTATTTCCATTAATATTTTATGCATTATCATTAATTTATCTGTTCCTTTAGTGCAAACTGTTTCAGGGAAGTAATTTGAAGCTCAGAAGATTCTCTATTGCTCTCATGTTAAGGATCCACCCCGCAGTGAAACACCTTTAGTTATGACGATGATAATTTCATAACACTGGCTCTTTTTACTCAAGATAGCTGCTGTCAAGTGCCACTGTCATAAGCAACCAACCTTTACACAAAATGTCATTGGCCGAGCAGTTTGGCAAAATTCACTTTTAAATGTTTAATCTAGTATACAATGTTGTTATACAGATTTAACTATTCTATTAAGTACTCATTTGGATACGGCAACCAACCATACCATACCACAAAACGTCACAAGAAAAGCAACCTGATTGGCAGCGGTTCCATAAATTGAATTGTTCTATTATCTCGATTGAATTCTCTAAGGTGACCGCTTTATTAATACATGTACATGTATACTTATGAGTGCATTGCTATAAAGTACTAGCAGAGAATTATTTCAATTTTTTGTCCAAAGATAATAAATGAAATGATATGTGTGGAGAGAAGAACAAAGAAAAAGAATTCAGAGTTCCAGATGGGAATTGAACCCGCGACCTTCCGTACACTAGTCGGATGCTCTAACCACTGAGCTACTGAGAACTCAGTGGTGAGCAGGTCAATTGTGGGCTGACATAACTACCGCATCGCGCAGTCACATTATGTAGTCACGTAAATACTCTATGAGCAATGAATAATAAATGAAATGATATGTGTGGAGAGCAGCAAACACAGAAAAAAATTCAGAGTTCCAGATGGGAATTGAACCCACGACCTTCCGTACACTAGAGGAAGTTAATTGCCCAAGAAATTGTGCTAAACCAACTCACCTGACTTTTCCATAAGAGCTTTCTTGCAAGTAAAATAGCCTTCCTCCTCAATAATAGTCTTTAATCTGAGTGCCACCCAGTTGATTTCTTTCTTCATATCATCAGTTACCAAAAACCTCTCTGCAGCTTCATTCAGGACACCAGAACAATAATCATTCCACAGACTTTCAAGACTTTGCAGGTCAGGACACTGACCTTTTATTACCAAAGATCCCACACCCACAGACGTTAAAGTGAAGTTGTAAGTATTTTCCACATGCTTAATGAAGTCACTCAGTCCGCTGGCTGTAGAAAGCTTGTTTCTTTTATTGTATTCCAAGTACGCTTTAAGTTGTTGTCTTAACATTCCATCCACGACATCCGCCAGTTCACTACTTAAATCACGTGGGGTGATTGACATCTTAATAGTGTTTGCTGCTTCTGAAAATCATTGATTAAAAGCGTATTACAGGGGCACCCAACGACTGTTTTCTGTAAAATATCTGTTCGGAGAAGCAAATATTGCCTAGAATTTTCTACTACTTATAAGTAGTAAGGACGGCTAAAAATTTCTAGAGGACCGCTCCATTCACGTAGAATTTTCTAAGCTCAACTAATAAATTAATTCCCTGCGACTTTCTGAAGTTTACTTTTTCACATTTCACTCTCCAGGTTAGGCTATTTTTCATAGAAAAAAGGAAACCCAACATTTTCGGATGTGATGGAAAGAGGAATCAGAAAAATTCTCTCCTTGGTAATACGTAAAATTGAATGTGATACTGAATCCCTCGTAATTCGAAAAGACTCAAGTTCCCCAAGGATGACCGAACAGGTACAAATTTTATAGCGCCGCTTAGAATGCGTTTCTAGATATCTGAAAGTACTCTGGATAGCCCAAAAGTGTTTTCAGTGTATTTAGGAGGTAACCATCGTTGGGTGCCTCTGATGCAAGTTAATTACTGCTTCTTATTACAATTCAAGCAAAAAAATGAATTTTATTTTTCTAATGTATAAGGAAACTCGGTGAGGCTCCTCAGCTCTTTGTTTGAAAAAGCTTTTACACAAACAGAGCATTCTTCTAGCTATTCACCACTTTCACATACATCTTGCACGCATCTTTTTTTTACCCCCCCCCCACCCCCCCAATTTCTCCTGGGTATTACACTCGTCCCAAGAGAAATCGAAGACAATGGTTATGCAAAATTTTGGGAAGTAACCAAGGCGTGTGGTCTATCTGAAAATGGTGAATAGCGGAGAGACAAAAATAAAAAAAGGGTATTTTTTAGATGGGCCAAAACACTCTACAGAGTTTATTAAAACAAGCCACTAAAACACGCAAAAAAAAGTTTGGCACCTTGTCAATGTAATTCAATTCCATACCTTGGTCAGAAAAGAGCCCTGAAATGCTAGGAGTATGGCAAGTTGAGGGAGATTCTTCACTTAATCTGACTGAATCCTCAGTTTTAGGCTGTTCATCAACTGGACATTGCTCTTCTGAGAATCCAGAAGCTAAAGCATGTGTTTTTGACATGGGCTGCCTTTCAGTGACAGAAACATCCTTTGGTATATCAGAAGCATCTGGTGTGAGAACAAGCGTTCATTACACGATAAGCTTCTTACAAAATAATGTACATATGTTTTTGTAACCCATTTACATCTCCAGCACCCATAACCACTCGTGTAGTATCATGTCTCATGTAACACTAAAAATAAATTTTGACTGTCACACTGACAACTGTGACTCTTAAATGTGGTGGAGACCCTTATTGTACACATTACAGATCTTTTCATGCATTGACAACTTCCAATACAACTTTAAAAGGTGTGCACAAAACATTTAAGCTCAAGAGGCAATAATGAAAGAATTGAAGTAAATTTGATGGTAAAAACATCATAACTTTTTAAAGTACTATAGATCCATTTTAAGATTACATATTTTCAAAAGGGTAATCCTAGCTACATGGTCAAACAGTCAGCTCTATCAAGCTTTGAGCTACATTATTATAAAGGAAATATCAAAATTTCAAGTAGCCAATTTAATTTGCATGTTTGTCACTTAATTCCCAACACAAAACTGACTATCTTTGTATGTTCTCCTTCAGTGGAAGTTTAAAAATAACAACACTTAAGTTAAAATATGGCTACATGGCCTCCCCCCACCATAAAAGATTTGAAGGTGCAAGATTTCTTAGGAAAGTAAATGAATCTACTTAAGGTAAGGATTGTAAAGAGGTACATTATTTTATACGTCTTGGCCATATATATTTATCTAGCTATCAATAAAACGGTTAAATATTCTGGGATTATGTTCGTGTACTAAATTTACAAAGAAAACTGAAGAACCTGCGTGTACACTCGACAATGTGATCAAAGAACAAAATGTATTCAGTGCTTGTGAGTGCACTGCACTCTTACATTTGCATATTACTACATCAGCACTTAACAAATAACTCTTACCATGACCCATTCTCCGCATTCTGTTCACAAGGGCTTCACATTGCTCCTCCCAACTGTATTTCTCCCCATAAGACACCCTCAGTGATTTAATCTCTTGAAGCCTCATTCCATGCCTTAAGCGAACAGCTTCTATTGCTTTTGCCCATTCTGTAGGATCATCTGAATTCACAATGCATGCATTGCCATGAAGAACATTCTCTAATGCTTTGGCAAATCCTGACCTACTGCCTACAAGAATGGGTAGTCCCGAAGACAAGGCCTCAAGTGCGACAAGTCCAAATCCCTCTGATTTTGATGGCATTATGGCAAGGTCAGCTTCGCACAGCAAATCTTTCAGTCTCTCTCTACTTTGTATAAATTTTCTAACAGTCAACTGTGCTTCCTCAATACCATGCTGAAGAAGTTTTTCTCTAACTTCTCCTTGCTTTCCCTCAGGTGCTCCAACAAAGATTAGATGATAAGGTTTGTTATTCAACCGTTGATCAGTAAACGCGTGAGCAGCAATGTTGTATCCTTTGAGTTCAAAGTCCTCATCATCCCCACGACCAAATAACAACACTTTAAATTCACCATCCTTATTAGGGTTTTGTTTTGCCACTAAATCCCCAAACTCCCTTTGAAAAAGGCCTGGAGTTATTGACAAAAGGTCTTGATCTGTCTTGCATCGCTGTAAATATGAAGAGTATGCTTCTTTTAGTTTGGGTCCCACAGGCACAATAAGATCAGCAAGTTTGCAAAGCCCAACTTCTGATTCGTGTTTTGTTTCACCTTTTGAAATGGGGTCACTGTAGGATTTGAAACTGCTCAGGTCCTCTGGAGCAGTGTGAACCACTTGTACCCACTTACAATTTGAAAATTGAGCAGAATCTCTAATGAATTGTACTTGCCGACCAAGTTTAACACCATGGCCAACAACGATGTCCATTTTGAAACTGCTCAGGTCCTCTGGAGCAGTGTGAACCACTTGTACCCACTTACAATTTGAAAATTGAGCAGAATCTCTAATGAATTGTACTTGCCGACCAAGTTTAACACCATGGCCAACAACGATGTCCAT